CTGTCCAGCAGCCTGATGTTCACCCACCAAAGCTCTCACCAGCAGATGCCTTTCATGGAAACATAAAATTAGCAAGGTTGGAAAAGATCTCTAAGATCATCCAGTCCAACTGTCCACCTGCCACCACCATTTCCTACTAAGCCCCTTATGTCCCTCAGGACAACATCTAATGTTTCTTGAACACCTGCAGGGACAGTAACTCTATCACCAACCTGGGCAGCCCGTTCCAGCGTTGGACCACTCCTGTGGAGAAGTGTTTCTTAACATCCAGCCTCAATCACCCCTCGTGCAACTTGAGGCCATTCCCCCCAGTCCTATCGCTGCTTACATGGGAGAAGAGGATGAGCCCTACCTCGACATGACCTCTCTTCAGCTAACTGTAGAGAGGAATAAGGTCTGCCCTGAGCCTCCTCTTCCCCAGACTAAATAATCCCCATTCCCTCAGCTGCCTCCCCATAACACTTGTGCTCTACACTCCTCACAGCTTCACTGCTCTTCTCTGGACACATTTCAGGGTTCCAATGTCTTTCATGTAGTGAGGGACCCAGAACTGAACACAGCACTCAAGGTGAGGGCTCACCAGAGCTGAGTACAGGGGATGATCACATCCCTGCTCCTGCTGGCTCCAGCCCTTTGCCCTGCACTTCCAATCTCAACCATCCCTTCCGCGGTAGCGCTTGCATCCTCACTTAGGGCTGGAGCTCAAGAGCTCAACGCAACAGGAAGAACACAGTGTGCAACTGGAAGATGCATCTCAAAGCTGACAAGAGTCACCTCTCTGACCTTGGGCACAACTCACCAACTGAGAGCCAGGCCTTGCAAACTTGGCTCATCTAAGCACATCAGAGGGGGCTGCACATCAGACCACAAGCATCCATCGCAATTGCAGCTCCACGTAGAGAAGAACAACGATTAACATGCGTGAATGAATTCACTCACAAGCTGCACGAGTTTGTTCTTCATTAAAAAACCCACATGGATTCCTACGCAAAAAAAGAACAGCAAGAGCTAATAGTGATGGAAGAGGTTCCTGGTCCTAAGCCTCATTCTCTTACCCCAATTTTCCTTGCCTCGTACCCTACCCCAACTCCTGGACGATGCCCACAGCCTTAAACTCAGACCTCAGATCCATGAGCTGAACATGAACAAATCTACCCCAGAGCAACAGGATGGCAGACACACAGTGCAAGACAACCAACCTGCAGAAGCAGCTCTGTTGGGGTTGGTCCAGATGTTTGTATGCTGCCTTCCTGGCCCAGGCCAAGCTTGCTGAGTTGCTCCTCCTTTGTGCAGGGGGAGAGCGGTGCAGATGCTATGTGCTGGCTATGCACAGCGTGCCTTCGACTTGATTTTCCTCTCTCCATCTTCCATTAGCAAACAGCATTTCAAATCTTTCCTCGTGAAAAAAATCACCTATGTAAAAAAGAATTGGCAATCTTGCTTTTGAAGTTTCCTTATTTGTACAATTTGATGTTTTAAAGCAGAAGCTCACCTAGTAGTGACCTACCTTAGACAAGCCCAACCTGCAGGGAAAAGTCATTCCTCTGGGTGCAAAGTCTGCAGACTCATTTCCAGGGGCAGCAGTCAGCCCACTTCTCAGCACAGCTTCACCAACCACAGAAATCCAGTTTACGCCTGCCGTGCTTTTCTCCCTTCTGAAACACTGCATCGCTGCAAGAAGCAAGAATTAAAATCACAGGACCACAGAATTGGGGTTGCAGGGGACCCCCAGTGATCATTGAGTCCAAGCTCCCTGCAAAACGGGCTCCCTACAGCATGCTGCACAGGTGGGTGTCCAGGTGGTTCTGGAATATCTCCAGAGAAGATGAATCCACAGCCTCCCTGGGCAGCCTGTTCCAGCGCTCCATCATCCTCACCGTGAAGATCCTTTGCATTTTGGTGCAGAACTTCCTGTGCTCCAGTTTGTGGCCATTTCCCCTTCTCCTGTCCCCACAGATCGCTGACAAGAGATCTGTGTCCTTTGGACTCCCACACTTAACAAATACATAAGCATTAATCAGATCTGCTCTCAGTCTTCTTTCCTCAAGGCTGAACAGACCCAGGTCCCCCAGCCTTTCCATACTGAGGAGATGCTCCAAGCCCTTTATCATCTTCCTGGCCTTCTGTTGGACTCTCTCCAGGAGATCCTTGTCATTTCTGTACCAGGAAGGGAGCCCAGAACTGGATGCAGTACTGCAGGTGAGGCCTGACCAGGGCAGAGCAGAGAGCGGGGATCACCTCCCTTGCTCAGCTGGCGGCACTCCTTTTAAAGCACCCCAGGATGCCATTGGTCTTCTTGGCCAGCATGGCACACTGCTGGCTCATGGCCGACCTGTCGTCCACCAGCACCCCCAGGTCCTTCTCTGCAGAGCTCCTCTCCAGCCGGTCACATCCTAAGCTCTACTGATATTTGCAGTTATTCCTTCCCAGGTGCAAGACTCTACACTTGCTTTTGTTCCACCTCATCTGGTTTGTTTCTGCCCAGCTCACCATCCTGTCCAGGTCTTGCTGAATGGCAGCACAGCCTTTTGGCGTGCCAACCACTTCTCTCCCAGCTTTGTCTCATCAGTGTACTTGCTAAGGGTGATGTATAATCAATGGATATCAAGATGCTGCAATCACAATATAATCAAGAGAGTTAGGCAAAGTGGACAATGATAACAAAAGAGAATAAAATGGAAGGCTTACCCTTCGGCTGGGCTCGCAACAAAACACCAATAGAGGTGATCTCCAGAAGAGATCCTTCCCCTCTGGTAGCCAGCTCTTAAACAGGCCTAGGAGGGGTGCAGCCTGGCTCCACCCCTTCCGGCAGCACAGCTGAATTGCCTTCACCTGTGCTCCTATGGCTGGCTCATAGCTCGCCTCAGGTGATCAATCAGAGGTTCAGGCCGTGACTCAGCAGTTCGCATACACGTGAACACTATCTCCTCGTCAAGGTTGTTGACAAAGATATTGAACAAGACCTTGTGAGAAATACTCAAAGTCACCAATTTTAGGTTAGGCAAGGATCTTAGTGGCAGCAGCAAAGTTTATTCGTTATTGCAATAACAGGCACACGCTCCCTGCTAATAAGGGAAAAATTGCACATCGGTCAGTGAAATTCATCCTGTTCTGTACTCTGAACCCGACGCAGGCAATGCTCTCCTGGCGCTCATTGGTTGAGCGTCTAGGCTCACAATCTCACCTATGCTGTTGCTATGATGTAGTTCCACATAAGGTCCATTACCAACCTGCTGTTTTTGGTATGTTTTGCACTTCTCCATGAAGATACGAGGGCCATATTTCCAAGAGTGAGCACATTTGTTCTGTGCTGTGCTGAGCTCTCTCTCTCTCTCTCTCTCTCTCCACCCTGCATATTTGCCTTATTTTGTGCCTGGCTCAATTCCACCCCAGTCCGAACACCCTGAATCTTTAACTTTTTTTTAACTCTGCTCAGCAACTTTCTTAGTGGAAGGCAAACAGCTTTTTCACAAGAGGGCTCTAAGTTCAGTAAAGCCAGTACTACATACAGAAAATACTAAAAGCTTTGACAGCAAAAACACAATCTACCTTTCACAACCAGACCCAGCACCAACCCCCAGGAGCACCGCCACTCACAGCTCTCCAGCCACCAATCACCACCACTGAGCTCAGCCAGTAAACCAGTTCTCAGCCCACCTCATCATCCACTCATCTATCCCACACTTTCTCAGCTTCATTACCAGGATGTTGTGGGAGACTGTAACAAAACATTGCCAAAGTCAAGGTAGGCGACACCCACTGCAGTACCTGAAATGGTCCATTCCATCCCACTCAGGCTGAAGCCTTGATTCCTTCCAGATGCATATTAGGACCAGCCTCCAACACGGGATGAGTGCACTGGAAATTCCAGAGGTGGAGTTTGAGCCAACAGTCCACATTCCTTAAGGGATAACAGAGCAGCAGACAACCCGAGTACACAGTTGTGAAGAAACCCTTGGTTTCAAGAGCAGGCATCTCACCATTCCCAAGTACAGCAACCCAAACAGCACTTCGTATGGTGATACTCCTAAGCCTTTTCTGTGAGTGGTTCGTATTCTGACAAGGGCTACAGGCAAACACTTTGTCCATGGTAATTTGGTCTCTAAAACCAATTTTGAGTGCTTTTTCAGCATCTGATTGATTCATCCTACTTTCCCTGAAGAAGGAGGGTATGGAGCTCCCACTTTATTTCTGAAGTTCTCATCAGCTCCTGTAGGACCTGTGAAGAAAAGAGGCTTCCCTTATCTGAGTCCATATTCTGCACAATCCCACATCTAGAGATTGTGTCAGGATGTAGAGTCCTCAGTGCAGAAGAGACATGGACCTGTTGGACCGCATCAGAGGATGGCCACAAAAAAAAAAAAAAAAAAAAAAAAAAAAAAAAAAAAAACCAGAACCAAGGGATCAAACAGCTCTCCTCCAAGGACAGGCTGAGAGAGCTGGGGCTGTTCAGCACAGAGAAGCGAAGGCTCTGAGGCGACCTGGTAACAGCCTTTCAATACCTAAAGGGGAGTTAAAGGAAAGAAGAAGGGAAAACTTAGATTAGATGTAAGGAAAATATCTTTTTACAGCAAAAGACAAAGGGAAATGGTTTTAAGTTGAGGGAGGGGAGATTGAGGTTGGATGTCAGGGGGAAGTTCTGTGCTGTGAGAGCGGTGAGGTGCTGGAACAGCTGCCCAGAGAGGCTGTGGATGCCTTGTCCATCCCTGGAGGTGTTCAAGGCCAGGTTGGATGGGGCCCTGGGCAGCCTGGGCTGCTGTGAAATGGGGAGGTTGGTGGCCCTGCGTTGGCGGGGGGCTGGAGACTTGTGGGCCTCAAGGTCCCTTCCAAGCCGGGACATTCTGCAATTCTGGGCAGTGGAACAGGCTGCACAGAGAGGCGGTGGATGCCCCGTCCCTTCCAAGGTGAGGCAGGATCAGGCCCTGGGCAGCCCGATCGAGCTGTGGATGTCCCTGTTCCTTGTGGGGAGTCGCACTAGATCATCACAAACGGACCCTTCCGACTCTAAGGAGTCTATGGCACAATACCTGAAGCCGTGAGGCACAACGGCACAAAGGACATCGATGGCCTGGTGAGCAATCAGGGCAGGCGGGGAAGCCTGAGTGCTCAACAGCTCCAGGAAACTCACCAAGCAGTCCAACCAGGAAGATCCACGTCGGCCACAGAGCCTCTCCATGACAGTCCCAGTATTCAGCAGACCAGAGGCCTTGTTTTATCACACTGTTGGGTCCCGTAGCTGCAGAGCTAGCTATTCAATGGGAGTTTTAATGGGAGTCAGGGAATGGAAGGAAGAAGGGAGGAGGGTGGGGGGGCTGGGTATCATACAGATTAGGAAACCAAGAGCATCCCCTGACAATTGGGATGCAGATCTGGGCTGATCCTGACAAAGTGGTCCAGAAGAGGACAACCTTTCCTATAAATACGTTTCCTATAAATACAAAGCAAGATCTGCATGAAACAGAAAAAAACATAAGACCCCAGGGTGGTCAGCCACAGCATGCTCTGAGCTCTATGCCCTGGCATCTGTTACTACTGACAAATTTGTAAGGGAGATCTAAGAGAGAACCAAACAAAACAGGAACAGAACACTTGTGTTCAGTGTGCTCAAGTAGTGGAGATTGTCTTGCGCTATATGAGGATGAAGAAAACGGCCACTGGGGCCCAGAGATTTTCTTAAGCTCAAGTCCCAGCCTGATGGATGCACCGCACTCTATCACCAGTCACATCGCTTGTTGGGCTGGAAGAACAGACCCCAGGGAGCCCCTTGTGACCCCCACTCCACCTTCAAGTGAGCTTCCCACAGCCATCACAAAACCCACCTGCATACAAGTGATGCATTGAACAGGGGGCTCATGAGGGGCTCCATTGCCTGCTCCACAGATTTCACAGTGCTTAAACCACTAACCAGAGGAGCCCCAGAAACCCTTAAACCCCATCGAGCCACAAAACAGAACGAGTCCAAAGAGACACAGAACATAATTTAAATATGTGCTCTTAAGCAACACTCAGCATGAGTGGAATTAATATGTGGCACAGGAGACACAGAGGGGACGCGGGCAGAGGACACATGGAGGACACAAAGACACAGGTAGGATGCGAGGACACAGTGGGTACGTAGCATAAAATGGGTTGGGACAACATGGTAGCAGACAAACCAAGTTTGGAGGCCCAGATTGGAGATCCTGCAATGAGAATCACAGAAGAGGGAACAGAGACTTCATGAGAAGGTATTGAGTTTAAAAAGAGTTGTAAAGAAGATCTGGAGAACACAGAATCCTTTTATAGAAAAGTGCATCAGCTCCAGGCATTTCCAAAGTTGCAATGCTCAGTCAGCCAACCAACGTCACCTCGGGGCTGATTGGTGCATTCCAGAAACAGATGAGAACAAAAGAAAGGAACGCACATCATTCCCTGCATTACCAGTTCAGAGAAAGGGAGATAGCCCCTTCACTTCCCTCAGAAAACAATTGAAAGGCATCATAAAGACAGGCAAAGCAGATAGAACTACTCTAAACCAGCTTACGATCTCCACAGAAAGGGAGAGATCAAAACCCCGCAATAAAGAAAGAATCACTGACCTCTTTCCAAGAACCAGAGCTCACCCAACAACTCCCCGGGGGGGATTGGGATCACCAAGAAGAGACGTTGCCTGTAGGGCTGCCAGCTTTCAAATGAGGTGAGGGTGGGTGGAGCCAGACTCAGCCCTATCTGGTCCCATGGCTGCGTTGCTTCCACCTGTGCTCGCAGGGCTGCACCCCTCACCAGGTGCTCCATCACTGCTTCAGGCTGTGATCTCAAAGTTCCCATAAAAGCATTAAGAAAAAAAAAAAAAAAAAAAAAACGAAAAAAAAAACCAGCAGCCAATTGGGTCTGCCTGTCCGGCAAGGGGAGCTTTATAGCTTTATCGATGAACGACCTAGGATGGCCCACATATTTTGATTCCATTCCATTGAGTCTGTTCTCAATGGCAATTGGTGAAATTCACAGAATCACAAGGTTGGAAACGACCTGCAAGATCATCTAGTCCAACCACCCTCCCATTCCTATTAGTACCACAAGCTACTAAACCATCTCTCGTAGCTCCTCATCCAGGTGCCTCTTGAACACTGCCAGGGACGGCGACTCCACCACCTCCCTGGGCAGCCATTCCAGTGCCTGACCACCCTTTGAGAGAAAAAGTTTCTCCTAATATCCAACCTAAACCTCCTCTGGTACAACTTCTTGCCGTTTCCTCGGGTCCTACTATTTGCCTGGGAGAAGAGACCAGACCCTTTTGCACCACAACCTCCCTTCAGGAAGTTGTAGAGTGCAATGAGGTCTCCCCTGAGCTCCTCTTCTCCAGACTGAACAATCCCAGCTCCCTCAGCCACTCCTCACAAGACTTGTGCTCCAGACCCCTCACCAGTTTCATTGCCCTTCTCTGGACACGTTCCAGGGCCTCAATGTCTTACTTGTAGTGAGGGGCCCAAAAGTGAACACAATACTCGAGGTGCGGCCTCACCAGTGCTGAGTACAGGGGGATGATCACCTCCCTGCTCCTGCTGGCCACACTATTTCTAATGCAGGCCAGGATGCCGTTGGCCCTCTTGGCCACCTGG